GTGGGGGGTCCACTGGCTGCAACAGGTGGCTGTGGTGAGGTGTTGGGAGAGAGGGATAACAGAGGTGGGCATTAGCTTCCTCATTGACTCTGAACCTGTCATCAAATTATACTAGGTTAAGAAACTAAAAAAGGGTTAGTAATAGTTGGTGAAATCAACTTTGCCTTGTGATTGACTCTCATTGAAACAAGTTGGAGAACCAACATTATGACAGGAATGTCAGAAATATAAAGCAGAAAAAAATACTATGTCTTCACCCTAACAAGTGAACATTTTTGTTTTTCTCATTCCTATTCATATTTACTATATCATTTTTAATAGACAGACTCTTACTGAGAGTAATATTTTCAATGTGAATCAGATTTCTCATAATATATTTATGCTCCAATTAAAGACAATTTGATGTTGTAAGATTCGAAAAACTTTTTGCCCTGAGAAGGTCGAGGCTGCAGTGAGCCATGATTGCACCACTGCACTACAGCCTGGGCAGCAGAGCGAGATCTTGTCTTAAAGAAAAAAAAAAAATTGGTAAAACCTTTAAGACTAACAAATCAGGACTCTGACTAGTATTAAAAAAAAACGATGCTTTTTTTCTTATTCAGAACTTATCACTGTAACTGGTCTTACTGTTAAAACAGCCTAATTAGTTGATGGGAGGGGTTACTAATTTACCATGACAAATATATACATTTCCCGGTGCTGCTTTTTTAATAAACAGAATCAAATTATTTTCTTTCTTAAAACATACCCGTGAGATTATTTTTTGTGATGGAATGTAAATGCCTTTAAGCTTTTGTCATTTACTTAGCACATCATTTCTAGTCTTTTCCATCAGTCTTCAAAGATAATTTTCATTCTTGAAGATTTCACTGCTATATTTGGCCCTTTGCTCTTTGAAGTTTTGGCTTATTTGAGGGCAAGTTGACATGTTTATGATATTGAGTCTGCCTATGAACAAAATTGTTTTTTTCTTGTTTTTTTTTTCCTTTTAATTTTTAATGACCAAAACACAGCGTCTAAAACTACAGCTTCTGGAAGAACCATTTGTTCTTGCCTGTCTTGTATCTCTCTTCAAACTTGACCCTGGCCTCTCGTTGGGCCTTGCATTTCAGAGCAGGATCTCTGAGGATACCCTTACTGATGACAGTTTTGTTCAAGGGGATTCCGCAGAGTACCTTGTGGACATTAGGTGATTGTAGTGATAAACTTTCACAAAAGACTTGATTTTTAACCTCGTGGCGATCTTCTTCTCGTCCATGGCAGCTGTCACTTGGAGGGGACAACGGTCAAGTCCAGCCACCAGAGCATGGCTGTAGGGACGATCTGAAGTGCCATCATCAATGTTTTCACGATGATGGCTTCGTGCCCAGAATAGCGTCCAGCCAGGGCAGGCACCGCCTTCCCAGGTTTCATGAACTTGCCCCTTTCGACAGCAATCACTGGGGCCTACAGCAAAAAGTACAAGCATATTTTTAAAAGGTCTTCCTCCTGTATGTCCTTAATAATAAGTTGTAATTTTCCCCATAAGAATTTTGCATGTTTGAATAATTTATTTACAATTTCTTTATTTCTGTTGCTAGAAAATTTGTAATGTTTGTAAATTTTAAATCAATATTGTTGGAGTATACTTTTTATATGATAAAATTGTAAGTGTGCACTTTGATGAGTTTTGACAAATGTATCTACCAATATAATCGCCACTCTAATCAAGACATAGAAAACAATTCTTTCGTGCTTATTTGCAGGCAGTTCCAACATCTACCCCAGCCACAGGAGAACACTGGTTTTCTTTTTGCCATTTTGGATTTGTTTTGCCTTTTCTGGAATTTCATATAAATGTTCATTCTCTTGTTTCTAGCTTCTTTGCTTAGCTAGAAGCAAAGAAGTAAATATTTTCTAGATTTACCCATTGTCAATGAATGAGTTCATTCTTATTTCTGAGTAGTATTCACTACCCACAATACTATTCACTACTCAGAATACTACTGAATCGTATCCAGAATACTGTTTATCTGTTTATCCATTTAAGCGTCGATGCAAATGTGATTGTTTTTAGTTTAGGGCTATTAAGAATAAAACTTCTGGCCAGGTGCAGTGGCTCACACCTGTAATCCCAGCACTTAGGGAGGCCAAGGCAGGCAGATCACTTGAGTTTAGGAGTTTGAGATCAGCCTGGGAAACATGGCAAGACCACATCGTGGGTTCTGGGAATTGTTCAGCATACACTTCCTTATAGTTATTCTTTGCCTAGCCTCATGAATTATCATCCTACATAAATGAACAGAATGGTATATAGCTAAAAACTCAAGAAGACTTTTGTGGATATTTCTGGAACTTTATTCTGTTAATATGGTGAAATATATTAATCAATTTTTAGAAGTTGAATCATCCTTGCACTTTTGGGGATAAACTGAAGTTGTTCATAGTGTCTTTTTTCCTCCCTTGCATTTAGTATGCTAAAGTTTTATTTAAACATTTTCCAGCTATGTTAATCAGTGAAACAAGCCCATCCATGTTAATCAGTAAAACAAAATTTTCCTTCTCATGTTCTTCTAATATAGTTTTGATACTAAAATGATATTAGTAGACTCATAAAATAAGTTGAAGATCTTCTATTTTGTATATTAGTTAAAGTGTGGTTTTCTTTGGTAGAATTTTGCCTGAGCCTGTTTTTCTGCATAAGCAAATTTTAAATAGCTGGTTCAATTTCTTTAATTTTCAAATTTATGACTTCTTCATATTCTTTTAAATGAAGGCATAAAATATGTAAGGAAAGAGCATCAGGCTTAAGTGTACAACTTGATACATTTTTACATACATTATATATTACTATAATACACTATATAGACAGAAACATAGATATAGAGAGCCATCTACCAAACAGATAAAGACAGAACATTTCTACTACTCAGATGTTCCTTAGCATAATATCCTCAAGGTTTATCCATAGTGTCACATGTTGCAGAATTTACTTCTTTTTTAAGGCAGGATAATGTTCCATTACATGCATATACCACATTTTCTTCATTTAGCTGCTGATGGACACTTAGGTTGTTTCTGTATCTTGGCTATTATGAATAATGCTTCAGTGAACAGGGGAGTACAGATATCTCTTTGAGATCTCATTTCAATTCTTTTGGATATATACCCAGAAATGAGATTGTTTGATCATATGGAAGATATATTTTTAATCTTTTGAGGAAATTCCATACTGTTTTCCTTAGCAGCTGTGCCATTTTGCATTCCCACATTATGCTAAGTGAAATAAGCCAGTCACAGAAGGATGATACGTGCTGTGTGAGTCCAGTTATATGAGGTATCTACAACAGTGAAATTTACAGAATCAAAGAGTAGAATGGTGGTTGCCAGGGTGTAGCGGGAGAAGAGGAGACGGAGTTGCTAGTCAGTGGGCTGAGACTTTCAGTTAAGCAAGATGAGTAAGTTCTAGAGATCTGCTGTAAAGCATTGTATCTGTAGTTACCAATAACAATACTCTATTGCACTTTTGAAAATTTTAGAGGGAAGATCTCATGGTAAGTGTCTGTACCACAAAAAATGTGGAGTTATTTTAAAATTTTTTTGTTCTTGTTGCATCCTTTCTCAATTAGTGCCTTACCTCAGAGGTAACTACTATTCTGAATTCTATCATTGTATATAGTTTTGTCTATTCCTACAGTTCTTATAAATGGAATCAAGTAGTGTGTGTGTAAAGTGTTTAGCTTCTTCTTTTGCTTAACATAACATTTGTGAGATTCAGCAGTGTTGTTCTGTGTACCAGTAATTCATTCTTTTTTATGGTCATATAATATTCCATTGTTTAAAGAGAACAGAACTCACCCATTCTCCTGTTAATGGACATTTGAATTGTTTCCTGTTTGGAGCCGTTATAAATAAAACTGCCATAAACATTGTTCTACAAGCTTTATGGTGAAAATATTCACTCATTCCTTTTAGGTAAATACTTAGGGGTGGAATTGATGGGCTAAATGGTAGGCCTGTGTGTAGTTTTAATAATGTACTAGTCCCCCTTTATCCATAGGGAATATGTTCCAAGATCTTCAATAGATACTTGGAAGCCCAGATAGTACTGAAGCCTGTATATACTATGTTTATTCCCATACACACCTATGAAAAAGTTTAATTGATAAATTAGACCTAATAAGATATTAACAACAATACCTAATACTAGAACAATTATAACAATATACTGTAATAAAAGTTATGTGAATGTGGCCTCTCTCTCTGTGTTTCTGTCAAAATATCTTAATAGTTTCCAACCGTGGCTGACTATGGATAGTTGAAACTGTGGAAAGCAAAACCATGGGTAGGGAACTATGATCTTGTCAAAAAACAGTTTTCCAAAATCCTTGTAACAAATACACTCATTCCAGCAATACATGAGGGGAAGAATTCTCCCACATCCTTGCCCACTCTTGTAATGTCACTCTTTTTAATGTTAGTCATTCTTGTGGGTATGTACTAGTATTAATGTATTCCTCTGGTTTTAATTTGTATTTCCCTGATTCAGAGTGATGTTGGGTGCCTTTTTATACTCTTAGTATTTATTTGAATATTCATTTTTTTGAAGCATTTCTTCATGTACAGGATTTTGTTATTGTTATCAAATTCAAACTAATAATCAGAGAACATGGGTCTTTTTTGTTTTTGTTTCTGAGTTTTTGATGCTTACATTTTGATATTTATAGGAGTTTGCTTTATGGCACTTTTTTTGGTTACGAATGTGTGTTTGTAAAGCATATGCTCTAATGTTTTGGGTTGCTCAGATCTTCTACATTTTACCAAATTTTTATTTTCCTGAATTACTGAGAAAGGTGTGTTAAAATCTTCCATCATGTTTACTGCTTTTTCAATTGCTTTTTGTAATTCAGTCATTTTTTAACTTTATATACTTTGAAGTTATTTATTAAATACATATGCCTATATAATAGTTATAACTTCCTGGTGAATTTTTTTTCTTTCTTTTTTTAACAAGAAGGGAAACCACTCAGACTGAGTCCTTTCCCTCTTACCCTCCCGGAGGAAGAGAAGAATGGTCATCAGTGGTACATGGTGGTTGCAGTAAAGCAACAAGAGCCTGCTTCATGCTCAGGAGACAACACTGATTCTCCTCATGGTCTGCAGCACTTCACACGTTCAGAGAAACTTCTTTAGTAATGAGCTATGTAAACAATCTTGATTCTTGAAAGTATTGTCTTGAATTTTTCTTTTTATCATTATTTGATTTTTCTCTCTCCTTTCCCCTTCCCTTCCTTTCCTTTCCCTGTTCCTTTCTTCCTTCCTTTCCTTTCCCCCTTCCTTTCCTTTTGTTTCCTTCCTCCTTCCTTTCTTATCTCCCTTCCCTCCCCCTTCCCCTTTCTTCCCCTTCCCCTTTCTTCTCCTTCCCCTTCCCTTCCCCATTTCCCTTCCCCTCCCTTCCCTATTTCCCTTCCCTTCCCTGTTTACTTTCCCTTCCCTTCCCTTCCCCATTTCCTTTCCCTTCTCCTTCCCTTCCCTCCCCTTTCCTTTTTTATTGTTGTTTTTTGACAGAGTCCCACTCTGTCACCCAGGCTAGAGTGCAGTGACACAATTCCCGCTTACTGCAACCTCTGCCTCCCAGGTTCCAGCATCCTCCAGCTTCAGCCTCCTGAGTAACTAGGATTACAGGTACCCACCACCACACCTGGCTAAATTTTTTTTTTGTATTTTTAATAGAGATGGGGTTTCACCATGTTGGCCAGGCTGGTCTCGAACTCCTGGCCTCGAGTGATCCTCTCACCTCAGCTGCCCAAAGTGCTGGGATTACAGGTGTGAACCACTGTGACCAACCTTATTTGGTTCCGTCCTTATTCCCAATAATGCTTAATGTTTGGTGTGACTATAATTTATTTTGGATAATAGTAATATTTGCATGGTAAACATTTTCATCCTGTACACACATTTCTGCATCCTTGTGCTTTAAGTGCACCACTTGTAAGCAGCATATAGTCTGATTTTATTATTGTTTTAAAATTCAATCTTCCATTAACAAGTCTGTCCATATTCAATCTGTTTTAAAAGTTAAACTTTTAATTGGAGAGTTTGTATAATTAGT